CTCAAGTGAATTTTGTTGGACAGCTCGCTGAAGTGTTTTTGGATGAGACAATAGCCATTTCAGCGGATGACAAGAACAAGGTCAACGTAGGAACTTTGGCTTTCAGTAGGCATTTTTCTATTAAGATTATATTTGGCACAAACGATCAACCCAACTACCCCGATCATGATTTTGCTTGTACCAATGCTAAAACTGTTCCAGCTGGATACTTATTACTTAGTTCACGAAATAGGTGATCAAGGAGTCTTTTACCAAGGAACATGAATCAAAACAAAAACGCCGTTCCTCGTCAGCTCCGCTAAACAATTTATCTTATAGGTGTAAGTCAAAAGGGCAAAATATTTGTGGTTATGCTGGGCAGAGAATGAATAAGGTGGCCTAGATCGGATTCACTTAATGTACTTTTATATCCATTAATGTTTTTCAGTAGCACAAGCGCTATGCATTTGCTTAACCTTCAAAAATTTTGCAACTAGTTGTTTCAAAGGAAAGAGAAAAACCAGTCAATATCATATGTGATGGAGGGCCAGACTGGACACCTAAGTCTACGGCCAATCTGATCAACTTTGGAAGGTTGTGGCGAGACTTAAACCTCAACATCTCAATTCTGACATCTTATGCCCCAGGACACAGTTGTCACAATCCCATAGAACACAGCTGGACCCTCTTTCAAAATGGCTCACTGGTGTTACCCTCCCGATAGCCTTGGAAGGGAAAACTTTTCCCTAGGTGAATTTTGCAGGGTTAAGTGAAAATGAAATTCGTCACCAGAAAGCTGAGGTTCTAGATGAAGCATGCTGCAAGTGCAGCAGATATTGGACAGAAAGAAGATTGATTCTTTTCCAGTTCGAGTCACATGCATTGAAACTCCATCTCAAGGAGAGCAAATCAATGACAAAAGCCTTAGCAAGTAGTAGCGAAAAAAATTCACAAGTGATCCTAACCTGGCAAATTGCCGCGCCGAGTATCGATTTCTCATGGGACATCTGTCAAGGAAAACGTATCAAATTGAATTTGTCAAGTGCATTAGTCCACAGTGTGATCACTGTACAAAGACACCAATTCGAGCAGTAACTTCTTTGAACTTTATTAAACAGCACAGTGGAGTAGTTCCATTTCCCGAATCCAGCACAGTCTACACAGGGTAGTATTCCACCCTTTTGCAGCATTTGAAGATGCCCCTTGTTCGTGATTTTGAGGAGTGTCTCCCAAGTTTGAAGGGGGGAAGCCAGCCTGCTTGTACAAAAGATAATTGCTGCTATGTTTTCAACTCTAAAGCTGACGAGAAACATCACAATATTCTAATGAGTCACAAAAATAAATAGAATGGCAGACCATCGTCCCAAAAGCCTCTCAAATGTACCACAATGCCATGCAGATTAGTATTTTTTTAAATGTCTTTGCATTAAAAGGCGAAATTGTGATATTTGTTTGAATATCAATTACGCTACACCATAAGGGAACCTGGGTTGTCAGGGCATTATTTTAGAAAGAATATTCATAAACAATTGAAAAAATTTACGTTTGTAATTTATTTTATTATTTTTGCATACACCGGTCACATATTTTTAAGAGCGCAATTAAATTGTTGATAGAATACATGTAACAGTGACAGGACATTTGCCTGATAAAATGACAAATTTCAAACCTTGCATATTGCAAATGAGCTGCTTAAACCTTAGCTACAGCTGCAAATAAATCACAAGAATAATCCCTTAATATGAAATTTCTTTCATGACAATTCAGGGTCTTACGCCTTACTAGACGTTTTTCGACTTTTTCGACACTTCATATTGACCATATCCCTTAGTTCCATTGTGTCTCTTAGTCTTGTGTACCCTTCTCGAATTCTCTCCCATCATCTTTTCTCTTCCAACCCTCATAACTCCACTCAGCTAACCCTGGGTTTGAATAGGAAGTTCCTACCATGTCAAACAGATCTTTCCGCTTGCACTTTTTGTTCTTCTAGTGTCAACGGTGCCTTTCCTTTTTCTTTTTTTTTTCGGGTTGGAATTTCCAAGAGATGTTTCAGAAACGTGTTGTTTTATAGTAAAATTAACCAGAACAGGAGAAGGTTCACTTTCCAAGCTGCCCACACTTATTGATTCCTGACCCTGCAAATATTCATCAGGCATATCAGAATCTACAAAAGTAGACACATCAACTGAACTTGACAGGGGTGTACTGTTCAGAATTGGGACAGGGCGTTCAATAATCTTTACGGATTTAAACAAACTAGTGCCGCTACTGGGCTCCTCAACTAGTAATATTCCCCTTTTTGTCGCCTTTCTTTCAAAAGATTTGATATCCCTCTTAAACTTTCCGTGATTTGATTTTGGTTTTCTAATAAAAGCTCTTGTTTCCTTCAAGCCTTAAAATGTCACTTTTGGTGGCACATGATGGCTGTGAATCGATCACAGTCACAACATCAGAGCTCCCTTCCCAGTCGTCAAAGTTAAAGTCATTTTCATATGCTGCTACATTTGGACTTATATCTAGCTCACTGGATACGGATGGTGCAATCCTTGCCAATTCATCTTGGTGTGTGCTGTTTGAGTCAGGTGGCTCACTTCCAGGGCTTAAGGTCTTGCACTGTTTGTCTTCTGCCTGCACATTTTCGTTTGGTTTCATGCTCATCAAAACCTTTGGAGACACAATCATACAATTGCAGTTTTTAAAGTAAACCCCATACATGTCAATTACTCTGGTCTCAGAGGTCTTTCTTAATGTTTCTCCACGTCAAAGAGAATGAGCCATGAAGCAGCGAGTAAGATGTTTTTCTCATCCCTCATTGTCTCTGAAGCAGAGAACAATCATCAATAAAAATGTCTGGGACCAGGGAATTTGTTAATCCGGTCGACTGGTTTGGTGTACATGCACAGCCTGCAGTCCCTAGCGATACACTCAAGAAGAAGTCCAAATCCAAAGTTGACCTTAAGAATATTAAAAAATCTTCAAAAATGTAAATAGAAGTATGTGTGATTGTTATTTATTGTCATAGGTATAATTGTAATTTAGACTAACTTTTACCACTTAAATTTTCTCCCCGAAACATAAAAATGACAAATAGTTTTAAGTACTTGCAGGCAAATTGCTTTGAGAATTCAATAAAGCATTTCAGGATTGCTTCACTTTTCTTTATCGACATAATTATGATAGTTTGGCTTAGTAGTGTTTTTTCGATTTGCGAATTTTTTTTTGGTACTGAAAAGACAGGACTGCCGGTCATTTAGTACCGTAAAAACTCGTGTATAAGCCGCACTCCTGTATAAGCCGCACCCCCAACTTTCAAGCATGATTTAAAAAAAAAAAAAAAACCAAAAATGCGCTTTTGTAAAAAAGGTGATCGTTTGTTCGCGCATCAAAATGTTCACAAATAAACTTGAGGAAATTTAATGTTGTGTATTTGCAGTGACATTTTAAATAAGTTAATCAACTCTGAAAATACCTTTTAAAAGGTTCTCTTTAATCAATTTCCCCATTTCCTGCGAAAGACAACAGTTCTCTTCATTGCTAAAGCCCACAGTTGAAATGAAAATGGAACGATGGAACGAAAATAAAGCGCTGGAGAATGCTACAAAACGATTGCTTAGTAACCACGCGTTTATTTGACGAGGGAAGTCTGGACACCAGAGAAGGACACAAGTAAACAAATGCTGGACTTGTGAAGACTGTATTTTACAAAACTGAATAATATATTTACAAGTAACAGGTACAGATATCTTGATATTAGAAAACGAAATTCCTTGTTTAAGCAAAAAACTATTTACATTGTACAATGTTTGAAAGTACGGCTCATCAATCTTTGTTCAAAGCGAAATCTTGTACAACAGGGTTCGGTATCATTTTCACGAGAAAAGCAAAAACTATTTACATGAGCATTAATATACTGTTAAAGTTCATTCTATCGACCAGTGTTCAATGTTCAACAACTGTTGTAGTTGCTTAGAAACCATAAAAGTCCTCGCCATCGCTTTCACCAAAAATGTTCTCAAAGCATTCAGGGTCAATTTCTGCAAGTTGTCGTTCGAAGTGATCAGTATAATACAGCTGGTCGTCACCATCTACTTCATCAAGCAAGCCAGTTTACTCCCTTTGAGAGCAATGGTCTCGTGTATAAGCCGCACCCACGATTTTTGACTCAAAATTTCGACAAAAAGGTGCGGCTTATACACGAGTTTTTACGGTATTTTGAAAACCTTGACCTGTTACCGGCCAGATAGCCACAGCGAATTATAAAACTCTAAGCCATATAGTGATCGTCACACTTAGTGTCCACTTGAAACCACATTTTCCATATATTTTTTTTTTGCCCTGTACTTCTTGAACCAAAGTCGAAATTAAACAAAAAAATGTAGTGCAATGGTTGGGTCTGACCAATGTATAAGTCAGCAGGTCATGGGAGTCCACTGTAAGTCATGCGAGCTATAAACAGGCGAGTCAAGTGAGCATGAAAAAATGTATTTAAAAACTGCATGTGAATTACTTGACCATAATAAATACTTCTTTCCATGCTAATATAAATACTTGACCATTTTCACACAAAACAAGCTATGCTTGTGACACTTTTATCCTTATTGCTTGGAACACATAACACTACGCCAAGTGACATGTTTTCTAAACATCTCTCTTCAAGACGCTTTTATTTTCTTTTTAGACAATTTTTGTTCAGCAGTTTTACTGTTTACCAAAAATTCAAGTACAATGAAAGGACTCGTTAGCTCACTTATTGGTACAACTGAGAGTTGACGTCTCCTGGCGCGCATGAATCACGTGCCTTAGCGCAGTAGCCAGACTGGATTTCAATTAACATCTAATTTTAATTTCAAGTAAATTTCTATGTTCACATTGTAAAATGTCGTAAGGCTACTTAATTTTGTTGCTCTTGAATGCTTAATGTTTAAAGTGCAAGAACCTGTAGGACTGAATATCAGTTTGGCTTCGAGATATATGCTTCAGCGTCGCCTAACCGAGTAAAACAGCAGATATTCAGAGACACA